CCTTTCTCAGGTCCTGCCAATTCCACATGCATATCACCCTCTGCCCTTCTTGGCCCTTTACTTATTTGATACTTCATGTGCAATGCTTGGTTCACCCCTTTGCCACTTCTCATCTTTCCAAGCTTATACGAGCCAATTACACAGCCAACTCTCATCCTGCCTGTTTCGATTCATACCATGTCACTTGCTCAAGTCCTTTCTGTACTGGCGTATTGCCAGGCCCCCTTTTCTCAGGCCTATACAAGGTCAATTACAATCTTTTTCTGTTCCGGCCATCTTGACAAGCCCATGCAAATTCAGTTACAAGTCTTATTTTTATGCGTATTCATTGGTAGATGGCACACCTTCCCCCCACTCAAAACGCGATGTCCCCATCGCGCGACTAGTTCTCACTTCGGAGGTACGAGACCTTTGGCCCACCAACCGCAGTCAAGGACACAAGCCCATCCGCTTCACAAAAGAAGTAATCAGTTCCTTCGCAGCGGATGACGCCTCGTCCTCCTACTCGGTCCGACCTTTCTTCTCTGACGTGCCGAGCACCAACACTGAGGTTCCTCCTCTCGTCTGTCAGGCAGGTCCAATCCAAGCCTCCCAGGGCCTCGTCTAGCCGTAAGAGCGTTCCTCGCGAATCGTTCCTCCCGAGTGGTGATTTTCTGGATTCCGGCCTCTTTCTTTCAAGAGAGTTGGGGCTCTCAATTAGTTCGCGAGTGCAGTTACGAAGACCTCGCAATTAGTCCCAAAGCGATTGTAATGCTCCGGCGGGGCGGTGTCAATGCCCCGTGGTGGCCGCGGACTCCACCCGGTATTCCGTCAGGCCCCTCCCCTTGGACAGTGCCGCCCAACTTAGTACGGGCAGCCGAGGTCCGACCCAAACGGCCATGGCACCCCTCTATGACATGGCGTGTGGTTGGAGAGGACAAAATAGACTTAGATGAGAATGACTTCCTTGCCCATTTGGCTCTCTCACCCTTTGACGTTTAGGCATTCAACAGGAGGCGCAGTCTGAACTCCCCGACTAGAGCTCATTGTCGGAGGTGGTTCCGGACGTCCCGCACCGATCCAAGCGGTAGGTGCCTTAGTCCTTTGACCCTCGTCCTCTCGAAGAGGGACAGGTCGCGCCGAGACTTTTTCCCTCAAAGGGATAGAGGTCTTGGGGTTGCGGTGCATGCACCGGTATCCCCCTCTTGCTGAGGCCAAAGACTAGAAGAAAGGAGAAAATCCATTTCAAAGCCCTTTCCAAGTCCATTTCAAGTTGCCTAGGGTCCCCATTTTATGCAGTGCACTTTCCAATACTCAATCCACTTCCAATGCTCAGTCTTATTCCCATGCTCAATCTCAGCCCAATGCTCAATGCAATGTCTCTTCCAAGGCTGAGTCCAATATCCTTTCCAAAGCTGAGTTCCATATCTTTTTCCACTCTCAGATTTTTCCAATCTTTATCCAAGGCTCAACTCAATGTCTCTTTCAAACTTTGGCTCAATATCTCATCAATACCTTTTCCAAATCTCAGCTCTTCCAATATCATGCATTCCAAGCAGCCATGCAAGGGGACCCCAGTGCCAATTCCAAAGAATGACCCTTATCAGGGGTCATTCCGAACAACCTGGTTAGGGTCGTTCTTTCCAATTCCAAGTCGAACAGCTTGGTTAGGGCCATTCTTATCCATTGCAATCGGACACAGCCTGGTTAGGACCATCCTTATCCATTTCAATTGAGCAGCCTGATTAGGGTCATCCCTGTCCATTGCAATGTTAGCGCCCGAGGGGGTGGGCCTCGAGGACACGGATCCTATCTTGTCTCGGGGGTTAGAGGGCGGCCATCGTTTTGGGTTTTTACGCATGCTTCTTCCTTTTCCTCATGTCTTTGTCACTCTTACATCCTTCCATACATCCGACTTAGCGTCTAGTACTCAAGTTGGGGCTCGCGGCCCCAAGCAGCACTAGCCCGCCCGACCGTTCAACCATTGCAAGGGGTGTTTCATCATTTCAATGTTTCCCTGCCACTTTTCTGACTTCTCATATGCTTCTTAATGCTCTGGAATTGCCTGGGGCAGGTTGGATTAGGCTCCTAGGGTAGAGGGTACCTCTCTACCCATAGGTCCCCTAACCTCTCGCAAGGACTCGTGGAGCGACTTATTCAACCATGGATACACAATTTCGAAGCGAAACAAAAACTCTCGCCATGACTGCATCTTCCAATGTTCAAGAGTTCACATGCCCTTGCCTATTTCCTCGAGGCAAAGTCAATCATCCCCGAAGTCCGTTTCTTACTACCAAAAAAAGTTCAAATTTTCCCCAAAGAAGCGAATACTCATACAAAGTAGCACAAGCCTCCCAACCCCCAATAGTTTCCACAATCCAAAAAGTAGTTTCATTACGGTCCTTTCCCAAAAAGAAAGAGACAAAGTTCGAATGCACGACAACATTATTGACTCGTCTCATCTAGATCCCCCTTGTTTTCCCCTTACTTACTCTTAGCCAACGCGACCCGTCACAGTTCTATATCTAAGTGCACTGATCCTTATGTATTTTCCCGAAAGTGCAACGACTTACACAAAGTAGCACCCATTGCCCGGTCTTAGTCAAAAGTTGTCTCATTTCAGTCCATTTGGCAGAGTTCAAATGCGAAATTCAAAATGGCAGTTGTCCCTTCCCAAGTACCAACCCTTCCCAATTTCTAGTTACACCCCCCCCCCCCCTTACGCCTGCTATTTCCCTAATGTCCAGGTGGCTTGCTTTGAGCCTCCCTCCTTGCGCGATTCTCCCCTTCCTGCTCCATTTGCCTCTTTACTCTTTGAAACTGGAGGAGTGTCTGTTCTGTGAAGAAGGTTGTTGGGACTAGATCCTCTCCCCTGCCCAGCTTTTCCCTTGCCTTCATGATCCATTGGTATCGCAAAATAGTGCCCCATTGATCGAACCACTCACTAAACTCGTACCCGAATTCTTCTATCCATTTATCATTTTTCTCACCCGGCTGCTCCCCTTTTTTCCGCTCTTCCCTTGCGGGCGTTGTCACTTCATCTTCGTCCTCATCGCTGGTGAGGTCGATGAACTCCACTGGGTCATTTTCTCCCGGTCGTTGTCCCTCCTCTAGGTTCCCCTCTTCCTCGCTGCTGGTGTCGCTTTCAGAGGGGAGGACTATCGGCTCCCCCTCCCTTGGTGGTGATGGCCCCCTGGTCCCTTGCTTTTTCCCTCCTCTGTTTACCACTAGATTGTGATCAAACCCCACGTACAACTTCCTCTTCCTGGAGCTTGATTCCCCGGCCTGCCTTAATGACTGTCCCTCCGTAGGCCTGTTAATAGTGTTGCGGTCGTTTTCATTTCCAAACTTCATTCTGTTGTTTACGGCTCCTTCCTTGCCTAGTCCTGTTCATACATAACAGTCACGGTACCCCTCATACACACGCACTCCCTTCCACTCCCATTTGCAGCTTTGGAGGCTTCCCTAGAACTTCTCGCTTGCCCCCATACAGTTGGTAGTCCCATTATCCCTTAGAACTCTCGACACATTGTCCCAACACATAGGTGCCCCCATGTAGGCAATCCACAGCCTCCCCCCACAAAAACTATGGTACATTGTCCCAGCACATAAATACCTCGTGTAGACAGTCCCCAGCGCTACCCCACAAAAACTATAAAACATTGTCCCGTGCTCCCAGGCCAAGTCACAGTCAGCCCAGGCAGTCTCCCCACGTTCCACAAACGTCAAGACACACAAAATGAACAATCCCTATGGTCATGATGACTTTCACAGGGAGGCGGTCAAGAACTTATAGCCAATTGCCCGCCTTTCAGGCTGTCAATTCCCCAGTTTCCCTGTCTTGGGCTTCTTGTAGCCACTGTTCCACCGGATCCCTGCTCAAAAATCTGACCAGTCTCTGTCCCGAAAATGACCCTCTTATACTAGTATCATCGAGATCCTCAAGTTCAAATGTGTTCAGTCCGACCCGCTTAGCGATCATGTAAGGCCCTTTGAATCTTTTCCCCAGCTGCCCAGACCATGTGCTTTCAAGGGATGAGTTCCTAATTAGCACCTTTTCCCCTACTTGGAACGGCTCCTTCCGGATATTCTTCACCTGGTCCCACCTTGCTTTGTCCTTCATTCGACTATCCGTTACACGGTTAACTATTTCCTACAATGCCTCCTCATTCCTGGCGACCTATTGGCAACGTGCGACAATTAACTCCTCCGTGGTCAAGTGTGGGTCGTCATCTAGCCTGTTCCAGGTTGGGTCCAAAGCTTCTATCGGAAAATCGATCTCCCTTCCATGCCAGAGTTCTGCTGGAATACATCCCGTTGTTCTTTTTGGAGTCGTTCTCGGCGAAAACTGCCTGCTTGAGAAACCGTGGCCAACTTCCCAGATTATATGCTGCCAACTTTGCGATTGTGTTCTTCAAAGTGCGGTAACCCTTTTCTACCGGTGCATTTGCCTCGGGATGGTAGGGCTCGGTGATCTTGATCGGCACACACAGTGTCTTAAGCCTGTTCAATACCTCCTGGTTGACGAATTATGTCCCATTGTCTGCTATATATCTGCGCATGAAGGGGTGTCTTAGGTAGAAATCTTCCACCCAATCGGCCACTGCTTTCCCCATCTTCTTTTTGAGGGTTACAACCTCTACATAGCCACTGAGGTTATCCCTTGCATCCAAGATGTATCTAAACCCATCCGTTGACACGGGCATAACCGCAAGATCGAGGTGAACAAGGTGTCCGGGTCCCAGTACCCGAGTGGGTCTGAGGTGCTCGTAAACCCGTACGGAGCTCCTTCTTGACATATCAGACACGTCTGACAGTACGTTGTGACCATGCTTGCCATTCTTGGTCAGAAATACAGGGGCACAATCTTTGCAAGTGTCCCTTTTGACGACCGGTGACCTCCAACTAGCCCGTCATGCATTGCCTGAATTACGTCCAACTGCCTAGATCTCCCACAAATGACGCGTCTAGGCATCATCCCTTCCTCTCTTTTGAACAGGTGGCCATTTCTTAGGACATACTTTTCCACTTCCTCCCTTGCCATGGGGCTGACTTCCGTGGGTTGTTTGTTCCCTACAAGTAGCAGACCGATTTCTTTGAAGACACCCTTGTACATTTGTATGAGGAAGAATTCCTGTTCGTTCTGATCCGCACCCTGCTCCTCCCGAGTGAGGTTGACTAGGTACTGACACTCCTTTTGCGCCCAGGTTTCGGCCAACGTCATTACGGCGTCCCGTCCCCCTTCCACGGCCATTGCCATCAATTCCTCTTTGGCCCCTATTTCTGCTCCCCACGAGTCTTTTTCCTGTTTACGTCTAACCGTGGTGACTGGTCCTTCCCTGGGTTCTGCAACTACTGTAGGTGCGCCCTTTTTCAAGGTCTGAATCAGTAACTGTCCTGTTGTAATTGCCGGATCTGCCATCTCATTATCCACGACAAGGGTCCCTCCTTCGTACTCCAGGAAGGCGTCAATTGGTTCTGCGTCCTCTACTCCTTCTAGCGTGATACAAACCCTGCTCAGCCCGTCTGCCCTATTTCGAAGCCCTGCAATTCGCTCGACCTTGTAGTCAAATTGCCACATGAAGCCTATCCATCTGCCAACGGTCGGGTCTATGGGCTTGTAATTCTTTAGGGCTCCGGCAACGTTGGTGGGATCGATCCTTTGGATAAATCGCCTCCCGAATAGGTATGCCTGGAAGGTCTTAAGACAATGCAGGATTGCTAARACCTCCTTCTTGAACTGCGAATACCGTCGTTCTGCCGAATTCAGGGTCCTGCTTTCAAATCTGATTGGTCTTTCTTTACCCTCCTCGCTTCTCTGTATCAATACTCCTCCTACTGCCAATGGTCCCCCGTCTGTTTCTAAAATGAAGGGCCGTCCTACCTCGTCATTGAAGCAGGGTGCTGCTAACGTGACCTGATCGGATGATAGGATGTCTTTCAGGGTCTGGGCTGCCTCTTCCCTATCCTCGGTCCAATCCATAGTGCCACCTTCCCTAATCATCGCGCGGATGGGTTCTGCCATCTTCGCGAAACCTTTGATGAAGATCCTCCAGAATCCAACCACCCCTAGGAAGGCTCGTACTTCCGTCGTGGTACGCAGGGGTGTCGGCCACTGAGAGATCTTATCTATCTTTGCTGGATCGGGTCTCCTCCCATAAGCTCCACAGCGAAATCCCAGTATGGTAACTTCCGGGACGACCAGGATGCTCTTGGGTCCTCTTGCAATAATGTTGTAGACTAGGAATCGCTGGAGTAAGTCCTTAATGTCCTGCAAGTGGTCCCTGACGAACTTCTGTACTCTCGGTTGTACTTCCGTCTCATCCTTGTATCTTGCGCCTTTCACGGGATTATCACCTATGTAAGGTTCACACTTTTCCGGAAACATATCCCTTGCGACGGCGAGCATCCTCCTCTGATCTTCTGCTACCGCATTTGTGAAGCCCATAGGGGTCACTTGCATCTGTAGCTATCCTACCGGGGTGTGCATTGCGGTATACGGTCTATCCCTCGCGTCGAGCGACAACTGATCATATCCTGAGTACAAGTCTACCAGGGAGTAAATGCTCCGCCCTGCATGAGATTCTGCCAATAAGTCGGCCTGTGGAAGCGAGCCTGCGTCCCTAATTGTTACCKCATTGAGCTTCTSCAGGTCCTGGATCCACYTGAGTGTCTTATTGGGCTTCCTGAACACGAACCACTTGTTSRCGTAGGGRGATGCGGTGGGTTCARCSACGAAAGAATCTATTTTRGCTCYWAGCAGGTCGGTGACCTCCGCTGCTAYYCCAAACTCRTAGGCGGACCCTTTATCATTCCAACACTCGTGCTGTACGGTATGGATCCTGACAGGGGGAACTAGCTTTGCGTCCAATCGTCCTTTCTGATGATCGTTGAAGGCGAAAGCTAAATGAAACTCCTGACATGCTTTTCTTATCAACCGAGTTTCTTCCACTGTTAGAAAGCATTCCACTCCTATTTTCATGGTGTCTGCTACCTCATCTGGTATGCGATGCCCTTCCGTTGCTCGCCTCTCCCTTATTACCCGCAATATTTCCTCCTCTTTTTCCATGGCCTCTTCCTTTGACGTTTCTACTAGGATTGAGACCGGCTTGGCCTTCTTGCCTACGGGTTTATACTTTCGCACACTACCTTCGGGGATCGTTTTCCTAGAACGGTCGGGATCGGCCTTGCTACCTCCAAGACGCGGGGCTGGATGCTGACTAGCTTCCCATTGAGACAGTAGCCCTTTTCGAACCCCCTCCTCAAATTTGGCAAGCGCTGCGAGGTCCATCCCCACTTGGTGGTACCTGATGGCCTTAACGAGTTGTAATAAGTCTAGGATTTCAAGTGCTACCTCCGATGTTTCGTTCCGGCCTTCCCTTGGCTTGGGCAGGCTGGCCCCAAGTTCGACTTCCGACTCTTTTTCTGCCACCATAACTTCCAGGGACTCGTCCTCTGGCCTCCTCTTTTTTACGGGCAAGCCCATCTTGATCCATTCCTTTTTACTAAAAGCCTCCTCAATCATAATTTCTACCCTTTCCCTCATACCTTCCATTCGTGTGAATGCCCCCTTCCGTGCACTTTCTTCGAATGTTGGCGACCAGGTTGCCAATTTGCCCTTCGGAGGGTCCCTTCCTGTTCCGAGGAGTCGGAGGAGTTCCCCGCGACCAGTCACCGGATCCTCTCTGTCTGCCATGTACGTGCCGTCATGCAAGTGCATGCCAATCATTTCTACGTTGGCGCACCATGGTCTCCCAAGGGTTATGTCATGGTCCATTTCTTCCATGACGGTCATCCGTTGGAAAGACCAGATGGATTCCCGGACTCCTGCCCTGACCGCGCATTTGGTGACGTACCCAGTGACGGGGATTTCGCCACCGGCTCCCCTGATACTCCCTGCTACTTCCTTATTTACTGTGCACCCGGTGATTGTTGCGAAATCCCGTCTTATGCGGGTAATTTCCGCGCCGCCGTCCACTAATGCATCGGTGTGGTGAGTTCCGATCTGGATTTTAAGCTTTCCTACGGGCAGTGCGTGAAAGCTGAGTTTAGTGTCAGGCGGTGCTCTCATGACTTCACCCCCTTCTCGGTCCGGCAAGTTCAGACGAATATCAGCAAAGGTTTTTTCCAAATCTTCCAGGCCCCCTGGGATGCTTTGGAGGTTGGAGACTCCTTGTGGCGCCTCGGCCTCTTCCGTGTGCTGCTCTTGCAGTTCCGGGGCCTCCTCTACCTCTACGAGCTTACGCGTTAGCAAGTCCTTTAAGCAGTCTCGGGCTGGCTTGCAGCATAGTCTGAAAAGACACCGATACCATGGTACCCAGTAGATTACTTAGGGTGCCATTGATTTCTGGTGAAGTCAGGATCGGAATTTGATACCTGAACTTCTTTTTTGCCGCCGTAGCCTTGTCTACTGGCTCCTCCTCTCTCAGCTTCCCATAGACCTTCTCTTAATCCCCGGCTTCGGTCTCTTGCTGACCCGTGCTAGTCCCTGCGATTTCTTCCATTGCTGTATCTTGAATAAGCTTCTTTTCTGCGTCGGCCCGACGAGTGGTGATATTTACCCTATCCTGGCCATTGCCTTCTAAGATAAAATTAACCTGTGGTCCCCGCCCCCTTGGCTGGTCCCAGACAATCTCGGCTATCGGCTCTGCCTCTACAACAGCTATTTCTAGGTTATTCAGAAGAATGACGGCTCGCCGCATCCCTCCTAGCGAGTTTGACACGCTCCCCCTTGGGTCCGAGAATCTCGCCTTTTGAGGGACCTACTGCACCTCTGCCGCTCGATATCGTGATCGAGTCTCGGACAGGCACGTACGAAATGCCCGATCATGGTGCAGTACTTGCATTGTTCGTTTGCCAGGTCACTCCTGCCAAACCCCCGGTTTGCTACGGCTGCCGGAACCACCTCTTGGGGTGGGAGGCCGGGTCTGGACACTTGCGCCTGCATTACTAACAACGCATTTTCCATTCTGTCCATCTTGCTATCTACCCCGTGCACCCGTTCGTGCAGGCTCTCTATCCCCTTCTTGACCTTATCCCCTGTCTTCCCGGTCAGATCTATGACCTCCCCTTCCTTAAGTAGGGCTAGCGTCTCGGTAACCACTGTCTTTTCCGCAAGGTCTGTTACGGTGCTGAAGTCCACATCTCTCGTGTATTCGAACATACTGGTCTGCTGGTATGCTGATAAAATCTTATCTTTATCGAACTCGGAGAACTGCCTGAGAAAGTATTTACTCATTATGTGGTCCGTTACCCCGGGAATTCGCAAGGCCACTAACGTGAACTCAGGAAATCGTTGTAAGTTGCATAGTTTTTCCTCTGGACTGCGGCTAATTCGGCCTCTGTTGCCATTTTCTCTGCCTTCAGGTATTTCCTCATCATCTCATTCCTGGTTTCTTTCCAGGATCCACTGGAGGCGACGATGGCCATAATGTCCCTTCCCAAGCTTAGTGACACGTGCTGCCCTAGGTGCTCCATCTTCTTCTCTTCCGTCCATCTCAGTAAGGCCGCTAGGTTCTCATAGTCTATTAGAAACTCCGTAATGTTGGCCCCATCGAACGTGAGTTTCTTTTTTGCATTTGCGAGATACCCCTGGTTCTTGTTCAGTGTCCTGTTGAGGGTGGCGACTACTTTCTTGAGACCGCCTTTGGAGCCCGCTCCCCCGGCTGCACTGGTTCCTTCCCCTTCCTTGCTTTCCCTCTGCCTCTCCCTGGTTTTCGATGATCCTTTTGGGTCGAACCATCCTAGCACTCTCTCCCTAAGGCTCCAGAGTCCGTTACACGCCCATGTTACTTTTGGCGTGGCGGGTAGTCTGCTAGTGTCGCTGTCAATGGCGGGTGGGGTCATAGCGTTTTCTGTTCCTTCCGCCGGGGGGTCGCTCTTGTCCTTCCCCTTCTTGCTAGGCGTTCCTTTGTGACTATTATCCTTCCCCTCATACCTAGCCTCATCCAGCCCTGCGTCCCTCACGTGACCCTGTGCCCTGAGGGTCCTCCTCATCCTCGACCATCATCTACTCGATAAGCCTTGCCTTAGATTCAGCAATCCGCTTTTCTATGTCTGCCAATTTATGACTGGTATCCAAGACTTTCGTCTTTTTCGGGGTGGCTCCTGCTGAGTTCCGAGGACTTGTTCTCATATCGTTTCCCCCTTCCCTGTTTTCCTGAGGTCCCCTTTTGCTACCCCCAACTTTCCCTGAGCTTTCTCCAATTGAGGCGTCCTTTCCGTCTTTTCGGGTCCCCTTCAGTTTGGCTGACTCTCGATCCCTGGCTGATCCCTCGTTTCGTTCCCCAACCCCATCCGTGCCCTAATTTCCTCCGCTCTGCTGGTCATCGATTCCTTCCTCAGTTGCCATTTCTTTACCTAGCCTGCACATGGGAATTTTTTTTTTGCAAAAAGGTGGCCGATTGCTCATAATTGCCCTAGTCCCGGCCCTAAAACCCACCTATTCCGTATTTTCCGTTCTTTCATTATCAGTACGACTCTTCTGATTTTTCTCTCCCGGACATCGTTCAGGTTTTTCTTCTACCGGAGCCTTGCCGCCGCCGCTTTGGCATTTCATTACTGTCGCGCTTTGACTCTCAGGGCGGTACCTGAGCCCAGTGATTTTCCTATCGGGGATGGCCTTTTCGGCTTATTGGCATCCAGGTGCGCAGAATCTTTGGAGCGGGTGGTCTTCCTAGTACCTCCCTGCCGCATCATTGGTTCAGCCGGAACTCCAACCACTGCCTCTCTTTTGCTGATGGCTGCCAACTTATCTTAGTACCTATTCTTTATTTCCCTACTTCTCCCTGACACGTTTTTCTCATGCTGGTCCCTCAGGCCTGCCCTGCTCATCTGGTTCCTCAAAGAAGTCCGCCACCCCCGCAAGGTAATTTTCCCCCATCTCTATTTCCCTAATAATTATTGGCTCATATTCTTCAAACGACAGGTGGGGCAATCCGAATATCAGAATTTCGAGTAATTCGAGTAACTCCTAGGCCTGATTCCTCAGAACGGCCCATGACTGACCGACACATCGTAGAACATGCTCGTTGTTTGTGGTCGGAAGAGGTCATAACTGCCCTAGTCCCGGCCCTAAAACCCGCCTATTCTGTATTTTACGTTCTTACATTAATCAGTACGATTCTTCTGACTTTTCTCTCCCGGGCATCGTTCAGGTTTTTCTTCTACCGAAGCCTTGCCGCCGCCGCTTTGGCATTTCATTACTACCGCGGTTTGACTCTCAGGGCAGTACCTGAGCCCAGTGGTTTTCCTATCGGGGATGGCCTTTTCGGCTTATTGGCATCCAGGTGCCCCAGAATCTTTGGAGCGGGTTGTCTTCCTAGTTCCTCCCTGCCGCATCATTGGTTCGGCCGGAATCCAACCACTGCCTCTCTTTTGTTGATGGTTGCCTGCTTATCTTAGTACCCATTCTTTATTTCCCTACTTCTCCCTAACATTTTTTTCTCATGCTGGTCCCTCAGGCCTGCCCTGCTCATCTGGTTCCTCGAACAAGTCCGCCACCCCCGCAAGGTAATTTTCCCCCATCTCAATTTCCCTGATAATTATTGGCTCATATTCTTCAAACGATAGGTGGGGCAATCCGAATATCAGAATCTCGAGTAATTCGAGTAACTCCCAGGCCTGATTCCCCAGAACGGCCCATGTCTGACCGACACATCGTAAAACATGCTCCTTGTTTGTGGTCGGAAGAGGTGGATCCAGACCACGGTCGAGTCCACCAATTCCCTTGCCCTCTTGAGGCTGCCGAATACCAGGTCTACCATGAAGCGAGGTACACGGCACCTCAGTCCGGTCATTGGGGCCTTAAAATCTCGCCAGCCTCCTACCTCCACCCGAGTCCTTATCCCAACATTTCTTCTCCCTCGCACTTCCTGTCCTACCCGGTTTAGTACCCTAGTAGCCCTTTGGAAGATTGGCAACAACCCATGCCCTAGTGCCACTTCCGTCCCCAATATGTGCCATCCGAGCTCTAACAGGTATACGGTCCCCGTCACCCTAAGATCAGTATACAGGTCGTCCCCCGGTCCCCTGTTAATCCTCATACCATCCCACAAACATTCCACCATCATGAACGCCTGTCCTCTTCCCAGGGTCACGGCTCTCCATTCAACATCCAATCCTTGAATCGCGTAGTCTGCTGGGAGCGACACCTCCCATCCACCTCCGTTTCCCGTGGGTGGTCGCGGGTACATCGATCGCCGCGGCATCCGGGCGCGTCTCATTGCCATTTCCGACTTAGAAGTCCCCTGCACAGTTTTAAACAGCACGCAAGTTTACTTATTCCCCTTGGTCTTCAATTTTCTGCCCGAACAACTCCCCGATTCCTAGCCTGGCACTTCTTTTCCCCTTCTATTTCTTTCCCCTCTTCCTGGCGCTATTACCGACTTGTCCCCTCCTCCATTTGCTCATATAATCGGTACAAATCATCTACGTATGCCATTCCTTGGTTTATCTCTCGCCGGGCAACGCCCCACAGGACCTCACTTCCCACGACCGGAACCCTCGACCCGGTACTAAACACAGCACGGAGGATGTGGATCACCTCGTACTTCTGCTCTCCGCTGAACGACCCCCTTTCTAAGAAGGCCCAATAGTATTCTCGATGTACCATCGCCTCTTCATATGTCAGGCTTGCGAGATCGGCTACTGCTTGTCTAACGAGTTCCAAACCGCCCACTTTTTCCAACAAGAAGGGTGGCAGCCTCATTCGTACGCTTTCACTAGGCAATTCAAAACTCCCAACCATGGCTACCCTAAGGTCCGCTGTTACATCGTCAACCCCCGGATCTGTGAACTCAAATCCCGCTTGCCATACTAACTGCCACGCCCCTTCAAACATGCTCAACGGGTCTTCTCTTGATGCCAGCCGAACTCCGAACTCCCTCCATCCATTTTCCGACACATACAACCGCCCTTCTGCGCGCACGTGCCCCCGTGGGTCCGGGTTCCATTCCCCATTCTCGGCCGCACGCCACTCAACTTTCGTCACCAAGTAAACCATATTCTCCACAAGCTCAACCCTGACCCAGTCCGCCACCCGGTGCCAGCCTTCACTTGCCGCCGGCAAGCTAACCTCTACCCCACCCGGTACTTCCCTACGCGGTTCAATGCCCAAGGGGCGTTCCTCAAGGAACGTTCTTCTTCGCGCCATCGCACACTCGCCTCTGCTCTCCTGGTCCGTGATCCGCACTGAACCCTACAATGGCCAGACATCCCATTCCCTTATCTTAGCAATTTTTCCCATATCTGTCTGGCCCCACGGCTTTCCGGTGCTTAGTCGAACCACAGTACCTCGAACAATTTGAACACATCATCCATATAACAAGGTGTTGCTGCTACCTCACGGCGGATTATGGCCTCCCTAGTTTCCGGGGCCACCTCCTGCCGGTCATTCCTTTCAATGTCCAAAATGATAAGGACCTCCCGGGCTCTGTCGTCGTGGAAGGGCCCGTATTTCAAGGACGTCCTATAGAATTCCCCTGCCAGCCATGTGCAATTCACGTGTATTCGTTCCATCGTGTCGGCTACCTCTGTTACATGATCAAAACCCCCAAACCAGTCTGCCACGAATTCGGGTACCCAGGTCTTGATTCGGGCGCCGGGCGGTTTAAATTCCTTCCATCCTCCCATCACGACTCTACTGCTGAGTCCTGACCGTATCCCACCCTTTGTTAGCAAAACTTTCCCCCGCCTGCCGAGCCCTTGCCTCAGTGTCCCCTAAAAGCCACATCGGGTTCTGTCCCACAGCGAGCGTCGTGCAGAACAGGTGTCAACCCTCTTCCGAGAGAACGATCGTCCCAGCTGATTCCACCCTTCCTTCCGCAATCTCTTCCCATCCTTCCTCTTCCCTCAACGGATTCCAGATACGCTCTATCCAAACGTACGATAGCTCCGGCACAATCTCATACCCCCGCCAATCACATGTGGTCCCTTTCCATTCATTACTCGGCGGTATTGACATCTCTACTCCCCTTCAGGTTCGTCTCGGTTCCCATGTGCAGTCCCATAATTCGAGTTCCCGAGCCATCGTTCCCTACCTGCACATAACCGACAACCCGTTTTCCCCAGGTAAGCCCCCCTCAGAAATCCCAGTCCTCTATCTCGTCCCCGTCCTCCTCATCACTGAAATCCTCCTCCTCGCTTAGGAACATCTCTTTTACTCCTTCCAAGAAGGTTTCCCCTGCTGCCATGTTTCGGTAAACTATCTGCCAATGCACCGGACTGGGAACGAAGATTTCGTCTGCGCTGAGGAGGTTTAACACCTCAGCCAATTCTTCCGCCCAGTTTCCTTCGAACGACCCACCGACAATCTAAAGAAGTCCTGCCTAGCACCTCGGTACAACCTCGGACGCGTCATTGACCGACATATCCGCTCCAATCTACCCCTGGTCCCAAAGACTACATCCACCAGAAACGGGGGTAGCACGCATCTCATTGTCCTAAGGGGGCGTCTCATATTTTTCCGGTCCCCGAGTTCCACTCGCACCTCCATCCTCTCCATCTCCATTTCAGCCCGCAGACATGCTGCCCACACCACTTCGTGTTCCGCTTGCCTAAACAACTGATCCGGTGCAGTGCCCAATACTACTCCCACTACCATTGCGTTTTCCATTTCTTGGGACAAGTAGATCCACCCTCGGGCCTCCACCGTTCCCCGGAATTCTAGGTCCATCAAGCTGGGTGAGAGTCTCGTCAGGCTGACCTTAGTCCAGATTGTCTCTATCCAGAGGAACGCGTCCTTCTTGTCCAGCATCACGGTTTCATAGGCTGGTTCTAGGTCGGTCCACGTCCCTTCTTCCGGAAGAACAACAGATACCCCACCCCTTACCTCTCTATAGGCACCTCCGGGCCACTAGAGTAGACAGGAGGTGACAACCATCGCGCCATCTTGTTTTCCCGGCGCTTGCCCTGTTTTCCACATAAGAGCACCATACGGCCCCCTCATGGTCAGATGGTTTGCTTTTTCTTTCCTAGATGAGAGATTTTTTTCAGACCCCTCATCCGGGTCTCTTTAACTATTCTTATCCATTTCCCAAGTGCCATTGTCCCACCGTACCCCAAATCGATCACCAGTGGCCCGCATTCCTTCTTCTTGGTTCCACTTTCTTCCGACTCCTATCCAGCCTTCTTCCTCATGTTCTCTCACTCGTGCAGACTTAGGCAGGGGTTGAGAATAGACTAGAGACCCCATCCCCATCCAACATTCATCAGGCAAACCTTATGGAGGGAGGCACAAAAAGCAAAGCTCAGGCAAACGTCGCACACAGGTCGGTCATCTCCTCACCGACCTTTTCCCCGGAAATTGTCTCTCCACTGTTACTATCGGCAGGGTTTTATCCCATACCTCAAGTGCAGCTCAACCGTCTCGAGCGCGGTACCCAGGTCTCGGCAAGGCATTCGCCCTTTCCTCCTTACCCAGGATACCCCATCCCGATTTGTCGCTTGTGTACCCACCGTTAATCTTGGGAATCACCCCGCACATCTCGGTAGGGCCATTGGAGCCAGCCGTCCAGGAATTCACTTCCTTCGGTCCGACAAGAATCAGCTTTTTCCAAGCCATGCTACGAGAAGCTTCTAATCGCCTCCGAGGCTCCTTCCTTGCCCCATATGCAGTGGTCCCCCTGCCGTCTGCCGACAAGCAGCCGCCCCGCCTGAAGACGTTTCACATCCCGCCTGGGCAAGGTCATCGAGCCATGCTCGGACCGCTCGGGTGAGAATGCTACTAATCAGCCGACGAGACCAACCCTTGCCTAATAGCCCGGTGGCCCGACCCCCACACACAGAACCCGGTGAACTTCAAAGAGGACGACCAGTTCGCATCCCGCACCGGCCAGCGCAAACCAATCCTTTCCTTCCGAACGGCAGGACGCTCGAAATCCCAATCATGCAATCACAAGTCCCAAGTGGGACACACATAACACAAGTGCCTTTCCCCTGGTGCACTCAGCGCTTCCTACCCATAGCTCACAAATTTTCTCTCAGGACAGCATGTGCCACTCACCCCTACTTTCCATACATAGTGCCCGGTTCCTTCTCGTGAGCATCTTCAAGGGGGAGCTAGTTTTTCTTGGAGTCTAGCAACTCCCTTCATTCCTTTATCTTTGCTTGGGTGTCCGTTCATAGGGCAGGATTGTTTCTTCTTGATTACCTTTTGTGTTCATATGAGGTTCATTCAAGCATTTAAGTGCGGTGTATGGAGCCCGCTGGGCTCCGAAGAGGAGAGAAGGCACCCAGGTCGGTCGGATCGCTCCGCCGCGGGATTTTCATTGGAACCCGGACTAGCACGGAATCCCAACCGCCTACCAGGTAACCGGAGCCCTTCTTACCGTGCGCAGGCCAACCGTCATCCATTGGGCCACGCACCTTTTCACTAAGTCTAGTGGCTCAGGACACCCCCGGCAGCATCCTTGGGTCGAGGCGGCGTCGCCCGGACCCCTAACCGCTATATTTTTTTTTGCGAGAGCCACTAGCATCACATCCATGTATCCAAAGCAGCCCTTAGTCCTTCCAGGCTTGCATTGCATTCACGAGAGAGCCATAGCATTCAACCATCACGCAACTACATCCGGGCGTCTACCGTTCGTCCAAGCATCCGGCCATCCGACCATACAACCCATCCCACATCCACACCTTAAGCGAGGTCCAAGTCCATCCCTTAGCCAATTCTCCCACCCTAGTCCTCATCCGTGGATCCAGCCCTGTCCAAATCGTCCGAGGCTGCTCACCTGCGCAAGACCACACAAGACAAATGACCAAGTACAATCCCCATTGGGGTCAACACATCGCCCCTTCCCGCAATCCTAAGTCCCCTTTGTTTCCCAACTCCCCTTATGAGTCCCCCCCCCTTTCCCACAAGCAAGTCATGCAATCGCCTTAGTCATGCAGTTCGGGAGGATGGTTGAGTCAAACTAACCTCGTCCACAAACAACAATCCTTTTCGCTTTCACAAATATTCTCCATAGTCTCGTATCTTTCCCTTCTTGGTGGCGCAAGGGACCGACAACCCTTCCCTTGCCCTCGCTTTCCACCAAGTGAGGACCAAGTTCCTTTCTGTTCATTCCCTGACAATATAACAGGTGAGGGTAGAGTAGTCACATGCCATGGAGGGGAAGGGGTGACGGAAGGGTTAAGGGTTAAAGAATTTTGAAGGAGTGGGGGAAGGCGGAGAGAGAGAGAGAGAGAGACACAAGAAGCTTCACATCCTAATCGACCTCGCTCATTGACTTACCCTAACCGATCCTATCCGAGGCCCCGTGCATCCCCCTCGCGACCCCCTAAGACTTTCGGGTGAACGGGCGTGGGTGACGGAGGAGGGAGGGTTGAGGGTGGTCGACTATGGTGGACGGGTGTGGGCGATGGAGGAAGAGGAAGGGTTGGAGGTGGTCGACTATGGTGGACGGGTGTGGGTGATGGAGGAGGAAGAAGGGTTGGGGGTGGTTGGCTATGGTGCACCGATGCAGGTGATGGAGGAAGAAGAAGGGT